AATGCATTTGGACATCTGATCACTGACACCAGACTGAACTCCTGAATGAGTACTTCGCATCTGTATTCCACCAGTCTAAAAGTGATAGCCTGCTGAATGCAGATATGACACAGAATAATCACAGTAGCAATTTACCAACATTCAATGTAGAGCTGGTGAAAAAACAGCTAGAGAGGCTGGATATCTATAAGTCAGCAGGACCGAATGAACTCCATCTGAGAGTGCTGAGCAAGCTAGCTGAAGTCATTGAAGGACTGCTGGCAAACCTCTTCGAGAATTTGTGGTGCTCAGGAGAGGTTCCAGAAGACTGGAAGAGGGCCAATGTTGTGCCCATCTTCGAGAAGGGGAGGAGTGAGGACCCAGGGAACTATAGGCCAATCAGCCTGACCTCAATCCCAGGAAAAATCCTCAAAAATGTTTTCAAGGAGTCCTTACGTGATAAGTTAGTAGAAGGCAAAATTTTGAATGACAGCCAGCACAATTTTGTCATGAGTAGGTCATGTCTAACTAACCTCATTTCCTTCTATGACCAGGTTACTCACCATCTGGATAAGGGAGATGAGGTCAACATCATTTATTTGGATTTTAGGAAGGCCTTTGACTTGATGTCGCACAAGGCTTTCAAGGTGAAACTAGAAGACTATGGGCTCAACAATTCAACGGTCAGATGGGTGGGAAACTGGCTGCGGGATTGGACCCAGAGAGTACTAATAGACAGATCTGTGTCTACCTGGTGGAAGGTAGCCAGCGGGGTCCACCAGGGTTTGGTACTTGGACAAGTGCTTTTCAACATCTTCATCAATGATCTGGATGTGGAAGTGAAAAGCACACTGGCAATCCAGGAGGGCCTAGACAGATTAGGTAGATGGGTGGACCGGAACCAGATGGTGTTCAGCACTGAGAAGTGTAAAGTTCTCCATCTATGGAGGAAAAAATCTTCAACAAACTTACAAACTCAGTGGTGCCACACTAGCTAGCACCACATCTGAAAGGGACCTGGGGGGTCATAATTTACCAAAAAATGAATATGAGCCACCAGTGTGATGATGCAGTTAGCAGAGCAAACAATACGCTGGCATGCATCAACCAATGCATTTCAAGCAAAACTAAGGACATTGTTCTCCTGCTCTGCTTGGCATTGGTAAGGCTGCAGCTGGACTACTGCATCCAGTTCTGGGCACCACACTTCAAGAAGGATGTGGAGAAGCTTGAGAGAGTCCAGAGAAGAGCCACTTGATTAGAAGCCTAAAGAGCTAGCCATACAAGGAAAGGCTGACAGATATAGGATTGTTCAGCCTAGAAGAGAGAAGACTTCAGGGGGATTTGGTGGTAACTTAGAACAACTGTTCACCAAAGCACCCCAGGGGAAAACTAGGAGCAATGGTCATAAACTCCTAGAAGAAGGTTTCAGACTGGATATAAGGAAAAACTTCTTCACGGTTTGTGTGACCAAACGCTGGAATAGACTCCCAGCAGGGGGTGGTGCAGGCATCTACCCTGGAAATCTTCAAAAGGAGACTGGGTGCATACCTTGCTGGGGTTATTTGACCCCAGCAGCCTTTCCTGCCCAGAGCAGGGGGGCTGGACCCGATGATCTCACTAGGTCCCTTCTAGCCCTAAACATCTGTGAATCTGTCTACACAGGTGGCCCTGTTAGACTGCAGGAAATAATAAACTCTGCAGCAGGGTAATACTTGTAAATACAAGTACTATTGTTTTTTACTTTGCAGCAACACGTGTAGACGGTGACACAGATGGCTGGGGCACAAGGGTGCTTCAGTGCAGGGGCTGCCTGCTGGCTAGACCACTGCTCCAGCCAGCCCCTCCACAAGGCACTGAGCTGAGTCAGAGCAGCTTCAGGCTGTCAGGCTGACCCCCGAAACATCTGCCTGGCTCAACAGGTTGTGGTCCTGGGTACATATAAAAGCGACACACCCAGAAGCAATAAACCCTGGCATGATACACACTGGGGTTTATTGCTTCATATGAATAGCATGTGTAGATGTGCCCACTGCAGCTGAAATACTGGTGTTTGGTCTATTCCCTCCAGATATTCATCAACATGTATGCATGTTCCTCTGACCAGCTAGCTGCATGTTGTAAAAACATCTTCAGCTTAGCACAGTAGGTGTGAGCTGGCAATCTGGTTCTGGCAAGGTAGTGCTGGTAGCTTGGAACAGTCCTTGAGAAAAATGAAAGGTTACACCAAGCAGGGCATTATAAAGTGCTATCCCAGGGGTTGGTAATGTTTTTGGAAAGGCTGCCAAAAACACCCACAATCTCAACTTGAAAGATGTTGGTATGCCAGGGGTGGACAGCAGGAGAGCCATGAGTGGCCCAATCCTTGTTGTAGCAGTACTTTTATTTACAAGCACTATCCTGCTGCAGAGTAAATTAATTTCCTTCAACCTAATAGGGGTGCACATGTAAACGTGGAGATGTTTACAGCACAGCTAATTAGTCAACTGAGCAGTAAACCTCTATTGTAGGTGCTCCCAGTGTGTATAGTAGGCTAGTATGAGAAAGAGCACAATCCTGACCTGGTGACCACCTTGAAGTGGAGGCATACCAAAGGGAAAAGCAAAATAGGGGAACACAGAAACAAAGACCCAAGTTCAGACATCATAGCTATGCTAGAACTGGAATGAGAATGCAAGTCTCTAAATACACAGGTCAATAACTGATCTATCGAAGTCTATGGGCTCCATTCTTAGCAATTACTCATGTTTCTCTCCTGAGCTTTAACTTTTAAAAGGTCAAGGAACAACCAAATTACAAGAAAAAGTCAACTTTGTAAACAATGTCATCTCAAGGAATTAGTTTTTCATCCCATGGATCTCCCACTTCCCTCAACGTAAGGATAATCCTCCAAGACCTGGGATAGTTTAATATAAACTCTCTCAGGACCCCTGTCTACTCAGCATAAGAGCTGACCTTTCAAAATACAGTTCTGAAATTCCTACCTCCTGTGGAACTGACCATCAGAAGTAGTGTAACTCTGTCTAGTTCCAAACCAAAAAAGGGCTTTCTTTAACTCAGTGATTCTCAAAAGGGTTGCTGCGAGCCCCCGCTTAGGGGTGCTGTGGCAGCAGTCAGGTGAAACCTCTCTGCATGCAGTTTTGCTGCATTAGGGCTCTAATCAGCCTAAAGCAGGCAGAAGCGCTGTCTCTTCAGTAGCTCTTCCTGACCTAGCCTTTCCCACACTTCTCCCAGAAACTCTGGTTCTTGGGACAGTTCCACCTGCACTCCTCTGTTTGCAGGAAGGGAAGGTGGAGGAGGAGGGCTGGGGAGGGGGACAAACAGGGCAGGGCTTCATAGAACAAGCCAACTCCTGCCTGTTTTGGGCTGATCAGAGCCCTAATGCAGCAGAAGCACACAAGTGCCACAGCATTTCCTAGGCTGGCTGCACAGCAGGTACAGGACTATTTTATTTGAAGGCAACACCCAGGGTGTATCTCCAAGTGCTGATTTAAGGTGCATTAGCCATTTTTAAGACATATTAAGAGCACGGGCCTACACATGCATACCCTTAATGTTCCTTAAAAATGGCAATTTTAGGCTATTTGCACCTAAATTTGATACCTGTAAAAACAGGTATCAAATTTAGGTGTGAATAGCTAAAGTGCCTTAACACATGTGTAGACACGCTAAGGTGCATTCACACTGTGTATATTGATTGACTTGGAACTTTAGTCTCAAGTCGGTCTGCACACTGTGTTAATACGCCTTAGCATGTGTAGAATTGCACCTAAATCACCTTAATGCGCATTAGGCAAATGTGCATTAAGTTTAGGCACATGTAAAAAGCATGTGTAAACATTCCTTCAGTTGAGAAGCACTAAGGTGAGTTGAAGTAGTGCCAACAGTGGTTCTCAACCAACGGCGCCGCTACATTAAAAAAAGTGCCTGAGCAGTGCCCTGATCCTGAGAAGATTGAGAATCTCTGCTTTTAACTCTTTCCATTCAGGCCCTCGTATTCCATCATTTCTAATCGCCCTAACTCATAATTAGCTTTAATATTTTGCCTGCCACTCTGCAAAAAAAACAAAGACTGACATTAGATGGTACTAAGTATGCATTTCGCAGTATAAATACCATGTTAAATAATGTAGCAGGGAGTGCGGTAATAGAATGGTTATAGCATTTTGCTATGGCTCCAGGGGTGTGAATTCCAGCCCTGCACTGAATTCATGCCAAATGCTGCCCTCAGTTGACCCAGCTGCAAATGGTATCTTTTCATTCAGGCTGAAGAGTTAAAGCAGCTGGATGTGGTGCTGGCAATGTCATTTCCTTTTGTGCCATTGGCTACAGAAGTTGGTGCACCTTAGCCACACCGGGCTCAATGGCCCATTAGGTCTGAGTACACCAGTGACTTGATTTGATAATGATGTATATGACTAGCGATTTCAGTATTGTTCAGACTTTTTTAAATGGTATTCCAAGATAACATTTTAGTATATATAACATTTTTAGTGTCCATGTTACAGGGGTGTCTCTCACCCATTGACTCCTCAGTCTACATTTTCACTGACTACCTGTCTTGTATGCATACCAGACCAGCCTCTGGCTTCTTTACTTTTCATTCCATCCAGGAAGAGCACACACCAACTGCTGAAACTTCCTTAGCCTGACGAAGGGTTTTTGAACCCAAAAGCTTGCTTAATAATTGTTTTCCAACTATTTAAATTGCTCTAATAAAAGATATCAGATTCACCCAAAGAACCTTGTCTGCCTAGTGTCCATGTTGACATTTTGTTCTCCTTAATGCTTAACCGAATTAACACTTTTTAGTAGCCCTTTACTTCTTCTGAAAGTAATGCAGATTAACATCTATTATTTAATTCAGGACAGTTGCAGATAAACTTGGGTTAGCATAACTGTGTAGAATAGATTCTTCATTACTGCACTATAGATACGATGCTTCAAAATGATGCATATAAATATTTAGTATGTTTCAAATAATTTACCAAAACATGCATTTAACAAATTATATTTGGCAGGTTACATTCTAAGTGGATTTCCTTCTCTCTCAGAAGAATACATGACTGTTTCGGAGCAAATAGAGAAAATTAAAACTTTAAAATTAAAACCAGATTTCTTGATTAACATTAAGGTAATGTGAGCTTTGATACCTTGCTATTCATTTTCCTACTTATTCTTAGAGTCATATTCATACAGTGTAAGAGTCAAAGAAATAGTCATTTTTTTTCCTGGAAGTATGATGTCTATTGCTAAGAGTCAAATTCTCCTATTTCTTTGGGGAGTTGTCAGTGAAGTTGTTCTGGGTGATAACATATGGTCCTGAGCATCTCCTACAACTTCAAGTTATTTCTGTGCACCTTACAAGTTTCAAAAACTAGAATAAAGAGTATGTATTTCCATGAAATCATAGTCTTGGATAATGACAGAATTTATGCCTAGGATTATTATAAGGTTAACAATATTTTAAAACAAAGGCAGTGAAAATATTTTAGGGAAAATACTTTGAGGTTCACAGTTAAATAAGAAGACAAATTACTTTAGCCCTCTTAGTCTAGTTCTGTGAAAATATTCTTTATACAGTTTACTTACATATCAAATTTGAACTGAATCAAACTCCTCAGAGCTCTCTTGAAAAATTACTTCAATTACCCAATTACATTTTCACTGAAATACCAACCAGATACATTTAAAAATTTCATAGATTTCATAGACATTGGGGCTGGAAGGGACCTCACAAGATCATCAGGTGCAGCCCCCTGTCCAAAGGGCAGGCAGTCAGCGGTAGCAGTGTGCAAACCGGGCCATTTCGATTTGGATTCGGATTCGGCCTGAATCAGGGACAGTGATTCAATTCATTGATTCGGATCACTGTCCTGGATTCGATTCAGCCAAATCTGAATCTGAAGATTCAATGCTGATTTGGAGAATCAGTGATTCGGCCATAGACACAGCTTTAAATGTTTTTTCTACATACCTTCAGATATCAGCACAGCTTATGAACGCTGCAGTGCTGGGGCAGATGGAGTGTGCCACAGGAGTGCGGGGGGGGGGGGTGGTCGTGGGGGGGGGGGGGGGGGGGGGGCCCTCCACATGCTCAGCATCTTTTATTGGACCATCTTTATAGTTGGCAGAGATGTTAGAATCCTCCTCGGCTCGGCAATCGGCCACAAGGGGACCCTGGGTGCACCACCCCCAAGACCCAGGAGGCACCAGTCACCGAGCCGGGGGATGCAGGGGCGGGCCCCTAGTGCAATCCTCAGTGGACCTGAAAGTGCTTCTGATCTACTTCCGGGTCTGCTGCCTAGCATGCTGGGGAGCCCCCCACACTTCTGAGACACTCCATGCGCCCCAGCATTGCAGCACTCACAAGCCACCTGCTACCTAGAGGTATGTAGAAAAAACATTTAAAGCTGTGTCTATGTCCAAATTGCCGAATCTTTCCAAATCTCTCCGAATCAATCTGGAGGGTTCTGATTTGATTCAGAGAGATTAAAGTGTCCTCTGATTTTATTCGGATTCAGAGAATCGGCCACTGAATCAGGCCAAATCTCCACTGAATCAAATCAGGGACTGAAGTTTTGCATACCGTTAGTCAGCAGGGGTCAAATGATCCCAGCAAGATAAGCATCCAAGTATTTTTTTAAAGAAATCCAGAGTAGGTGCCTGCACCACCTCTGGGAGGGAGTCTATTCCAGGCCCTGGGGACTTGGACTGTAAAGAAGTTTTTCCTTATGTCCAGCCTAAAACGGTCTTCCAAGAGTTTGTGACCATTACACCTAATCTTCCCATGGGGTGCCCTGGTGAACAGATGTTCTCTCAGTTCCCAGTGCACACCTCTTATATACTTATAGGCTGCCACCAAGGCACCCCTGAGCCTACGCCTTTCCAGGCTGAAGAGTCCCGTGTCTCTGAGCCTGTCTTTATAAGGCTTGCTCTCTTGTCCTCTAATCATTTGTATGGCTCTCCTCTGGACTCTCTTGAGCTTCTCCACATCCTTTCTAAATTGCAGAGCCCAGAACTGGACACAGTATTCCAGCTGTGGTCTCACCAAGGCCAAGTGAAGTGGGAGGATGACTTCCTGGGTCTTGTTTGAGATACATCAGAAGACGCAGGCCAAAGTCTTGTTTGCTTTGCTGGCTGCGGCATCGCACTGGTGGCTCATGTTCATCTTGTGGTCACTCATGACCCCCAAGTCTCTTTCAGACTTGCTGCTATACCAAAGAAATTAAAGTAACTGCATGCATAGGGTAAGAAGTGTTCTTTTTCTAAAGGCCTTAAAGGTCCAAATAATATCCTGCAAAAAACAAGGGGTTTTTTGGTGATATCTTTTATTGGACCATCTGTATAGTTGGCAGAGATGTTAGACAAGCTTTCAGGCATAAAGTGCTCATCTTCTGTTCACAATAGAATATAGTGATATAATAGATATCAGATAACATACTGGGCTTCTTAAGGAAAGAATCCTAATGCATCTAGTGGGTGAAAAAAATGTATCTTGAGAGTTTCTCTGAGTTGCCTGACTATTGTGTAGGGGTAATTCTAATACCTTCAGGAAAAGAAAAACATCTGTGTCTTGGAGGGTGATTCTATTCCTGTAATGGGGATACTTATACCCCCAGAGGAGATAACAGAATTGCTCCTACCCCGTAGTAGTCAGGTAACTCAGCAAGTCTGAATCTGCAGTTTGATTGTCTACCAAATTCTTTTCTGACATAAAAGATAAAAGACTCTGTCTTAGGTCTTTCCTGATCTACCTTCTAAAATATTGAATGGACTTCCAGAACAACTGTGTGTATCTCAATGAAAATGTTACATTGTCCATTTATTCTCTTTAAGATTTTACTTACGATTGCTTACTTATATTACATCCTATTGCACAGCAAAGAAACATTTACAAAGAGTATGTGCCTTTGGAAAGGCTTGACCAAAAATTCTCCTTGTCTACCTCAAAATGTAGTATGTCAGGTGAGAATCATACAGCCTTCCCCAGTACTTGTGACAGAAGCAGGGCAATACCCAGAAGTTTAAAGAATACTTCAAGGGATAGTTCACATACTCTTTTTTTAATAGGGCAAAATTTCATTTCACTTACTTTGTTTCAGGGATGTTGGTCTGAGACAAAAAGAAATGCCAAACTCTAAAACTCTTGGTTCAAAGATGATTATAAAAGGTATAATTTCTGAACCAAGAGTTTTAGAGTTTGGCATTTCACTTAGTAGACATTTTGTGCGTTTGATTATTTGTTTAAAATTGCACCTACCAAGTAATTGAAATTTAAAATATATAAACCAGATGTTTAGAAATCATCTTCTAAAACTAACACAGCATTCAAGAAAAAAGAATAATATTATGAGAACCAACTGATCAAAAGGTTTGCTTTGAATTCTTTCTTAACTAGTGTCCTGACTATGATTTGTGCCAAAGAATCTCTGGGCAAAGACAACATCCTGATTCAGGGGAGATATACCGACGGAACCAGTGGGATCCTGACATTATTGAAAAACGTAAGAAAAAGAAGGAGCAGAGGAAACATGAAGAGGAGGAAGAGAATGATGAAGAAGAGCAAGAAGATGAAGAGGAGGTAACTATTTTGAATCTGTTGAATAGATTCTAAGGGTTAGCAGCTGGAAAGAGAAATGAAAAGCCTACAAAGATTTTAAAAAGCCTGTCTTGAATTAGCAATTAACAGGTCAAATCATTTTCAGTAAAAATCTTTCTTGTTTTTTCTCCTCTTGATTATCTCTGTGTATTTAGTTAGCCTGTATGGTATATTTTTCTCTGTTATTATTTATGTGTATTTAGTTAGCCTATGAACAGAATGGCAGGATCCTAGACAAGAGATCTAATACATTCTTCTTCAAAATGTTTTCAGGAAAGGTTCAAAGTAAGTAGAACACATCCAGAATGGTCCACTTTATTTTTTGGACCTGATCCAGCAAGGCATTCCAGTATATATAGCTTTAAGTAGGTGAGCAGTTCCAGTGGGACTTTTCACAAGCTTGATAGGAGTGAGTACGTGTACATGTAAAAGTGCTCTGCTGGCGTGGATGACTTTTATGCTTTTTTGTTTTTCACTATTTATAGTGTTATTTCTATAGTGTCATAGGTCTACAAAGGGGTGTTGGTTGTAGCTGTATTGGTCTAAGGACATAGGCAGACTAGTTTCTTTGGGTAAATGGAATATCTTTTATTAGACCAATGAAATAGCTGGAAAAATTGTTCTTTGCAAGTTTTTGAGCACAAGCATCCATGTTCAGAAGGGCTGGTGTTGTTTTGTGTTCTTCCGGATGGAATAGAAGCCAATATGCAAAATGCAGGTCTGTGAAAATGCAAATGCATGGCAGTGAGCATCAGAGGCCAGGGGAGACAATAGGTGTGAGACAGGTAGGTGGGGGAGGAAAGGGGAGAATGTTGACCTGGTGATAGAATGTAGCTGCTAAAATGTAGACAGGTTACCTGGGATTAATGGATGGCAGACAGGTTATAATGTGCCCTGACATAAATCCAGTGTCTAAATAAATCCAATAGACATTGGATTTATGGCACATTATAACCTGCGTGCCATCCGATGACCCCAGGTAACCTCTCTACATTTCACCAGCTACATTCTATCATCAGGTCAACCTTCTCCCACTTCCTCATCTCACACCTATTGTCTCCCATGGCCTCTGATAGGTTTAAAAGGTTCTTTACAGAGGTAAAATGTGACCATGTCCCTACTTCAAGGAGCTTGGAATTTAATGTATATGGAGAACTTAAAAATAAAGTCAGTCCAGAGGGTGAAGGAATTGCTGAGTGCCAAAAAGATGAAGAGAAAAAACACACTGAGGGGCTTTTTTTTTTTTTTTTTTTTTTTAAGAGGCTTTAAAAATATATCTGACATCTCTTACCAAGATGAAAATTGCCTTTGCTCACCTGACATCAGGCCACAGCACTTGATGTTCTTAGGAATAAAATTGTTAAATGTTGTTTATTGTGCACTGTATTTAGTTGCAACATGTTGATGATTACCTTTTATTTAGATTTTTTAAAAATGTAACTTAGTCATCTTTCTTGTTTATTTCATTTTATTTCCCTTCCTAATTTCAGTTTATTGTTTTATTAGTATCACACTATCTTTTTCAATTTATCTCACCAGTCAACATTAGCTAACACAATGTCAAGACCATCTCTTTTCTACTAGCCTAAATAAGGTCTTAGGAACACTGCTGCTTTTCTAAAGATGAAAATAAAGTCTAGATATTAATAGAAAATCCTAGGGACTGAATATTCAGTTACACCAGAGGAATGAACTGTGTAATTAGGGTATGGGAGAGTAAAGATTGATTTATGTCCTCCCTGCATACCTCATCCTTGAATTACATTCATTCTTTTTTCCACTGAGCTGTTCTGTATTGGAGAGGCAAGAATATTTTTGGTGATATCTTGTATTGGATCAAGTGTGTATTTGGGATAGATGCTTGACAAGCTTTCAGGCACAAAGTGTCCTACCTTAGGTCCAAGAGAGAAGCAGACACAGCTTGAGCTAAATAACGATAGAGTAATGGCTTATATGTAACCAGGGGTGGATCCAGGATTTGGCTGGAGAAGCCACCCCCAATGCAACAGTGGCTGCATCCCAGCTCCCAACTTGCTCCCCCACCACCCCACCAGACCACACTGCAGGAGCCTCTGGGGACTTTTTGAATGTCCCCAAAGCAGATACGCATCTCTCCACCCTCTGTGGCACATCCCCTTCCCTCCCTCTGCCCTTTCCCCACTATCCCATGGTGGTGAAGCTACAAAGCCACTCCTGACCATTTCAGGCTATGAGGGATGTGGGTTCAGCTGGGACAGCAACACCAGTAACAGCAGAGAGGTGGATTTCTGAACCTTGCCCGGTCCCCCTGGGAGCAGGAACAGGAAAGGGGAACCCCCTGCCCATCACCTCTGTCACTGTTCCCAACTGAGCTCACCCCTACACAGCCAGGGTGGAGCAGGAAGGAGTGGCTTTGAACCTTTCCCTGCCCAGAGACAGTAGTGGCAGAGGGGGGAGGGGAGAAGGGGAGGAGAGGGGACATGCCTTTAAACAAAGAGGGGACGGAGGGGGATTTTTACATGCTTTGGAGACTTTAAAGAAGTCCCCAGAGGCTCTCAGGGTGTGATCCAGTACAAGAGGTGGGTGGAGCCATGCCACTGCTCCCCTTCCAGATCCACCCCATCTGTAAATGAAAAACAGTCACTTACAAGAAATGTAGGAGGACTGTAAAGTAGTAGCAAAGAGAAATGTATTTCCTGGATCATCGTGGCTCCAACAACACTTTAACCCTGAAGTGCTATGGTTTAAAATACTGGCTAGCGGCTTCCGAGCTGCGTGCACTCCAGCCACACCTCTTCCTAACCCAGTGCACAGAATAGATGTCATCACTGAAATCAGTGATGCACAGTCTCCAGTCCCACAGGTCACATGAGTGGCAAGGAGCCAGCCCATGAGCCAGATCCCCCATGCATACATGTGTCCTGGACCCAGCTGCATTGTAGCTCCATGCAGTGGTGTGATCCAGTGTTCAGGGCCAGATCATCTGGCCTGCAGGGCTCCCCAAGGGTCCAGATATTTATCAGCAGAGAATTTGTTGGCAACATTAATTGTCACTGCTCTACTGCTGCCAAATTTCCAGCCCTGTGGAGCACACTCTGGGCCAGATGGTTCTGTGGGGTGGATCTAGCCTGGGGGAACCATAGGTTCAAGTACCACTCCTCTACATTAATTCAATCCCAGCTGGCTGGTTAAATTAGTATTCTAGCTACAAAGACTTACTTAATCAATTTAGACAGGCTTTGATTTAGTGTGTTAATTATATAGGACATGAAATAAAATATTTATTTTTCTTTCTGTAGGCAACAGCAGATGCATTTATGTTATCAGATATTTTGCCACATTTGGTGCAGAGGCCTGAAGATTTTTTTGAAAATGCAGAAGAAAGGGTTAAACTCTATAAGGACACAATGCTACATGCTCTAGAGGTAAGAGCAAAACATATCTGAATGTTTCGCAACCTGCTTAACTCCCAGAAAGTTACAAAGCTGACCCCTGTAGCTGTGTATAATCCTGGGTACTTTGCAAACCCTCATCTTCACAGTGCGGGGAGGAACGTAACCCTGCAAAGCATTTGGGTACTACTGTCATATTGTTGTATACACAAATAATCATAAAAATATATCATAAAAATATATAAATTAGTTGTATGCTATCTAGGCCTCTCACGTTGTACAAAGATGGAGAAAACCCATAACCCTTCCTCATAACCTTGATCTCTAGATTTAAAAAAAATTGTAATCATAGGAAAGCAGGGCTGGAATAGGCCTCACAAGGTCATCTAGTCCAGACCCATGCTCAAAGCAGGATCGTCCATGAATAAACCATCCCAGCCAAGTGTCTGTCTAACCTGCTCTTGAAAATTTCCAAGGATGGAGATTCCACAGTTGCTCTAAATAGTCTGTTCCAGTGCTTGACTGTGCTCAGTCAAAGTTCCTCCTAACTACCAACCTCAATTTCCTCTAACTGAAGCTTGAGGCCATTATTCCTAGTCCTGGCCCCCTCTGCCACGGAGAAAAGCCTATCTCCATTCTCTCTAAAATTGCCCTTCAAGTATTTGAACACTGTTATCAACACCGCCCCCCCCCCCCCCCCATCTTCTCTACCCCAGACTAAAAAAAACTATAATTCTTTAAGCCTTTCCTCATAAGTCATGATTCTCAGGCCCCTAATTATTTTTGTTGCTTTGCACTGGACTCTTTCCAAACTATCCACATCCTTCTTGAAGTGTAGAGCCCAAAACTGGACATGGGACTCTCAGTGAAGCCTCCCCAGTGCTGAAAAGAGTGAAGCATCACTTCCCTTGATTTGCAAATGACACTTCTGCTAATACAACCCAGTATGCTTCTGGGGTTTTTTGCAGCAAGAGCACACTGTTGGCTTATATTAATCTTATGGTCTACTGTAACTCTCAAGTCCTTCTCTGCAGTACTTCAGCCTAGCTACTTATTCCCCAGTCTGTATTTGGGCATGCAGTCATTCCATCCCAGGAATAACTTTGCACTTGTCCTTGTTGAATTTCATCTGGTTGATTGTTGACCATTTCTCAGTTTATTCAAGTCTTGCAGGCACTCTGAAGGGCAGGGCTACAATCAAGACTTGAATGAACTGGAGCACCTAACTTGGCATTGTCTGCAAATTTGCTAAGCATGTACTCAAGCCATTGTCCAAACTATTAATGAAGATATTGAACAATACCAGACCCAGGACAGATAACTGATTTCCTACATATCTTTATGTCTGCCCACAGAACTTTGAGTTTTATGCCTCTTTTTGCCTTTGTGATTGTAACAGGGGACCTTCCCAGGGTTAGTTAGATGTTGGCCTGCCCACCTGTTCCTGGGCTAACCGCCCGCCTCACTCTTCTGCCATGCCTTGTTGTTTCATAGTTGGTTCTAATTAGGTGGGAGACTGCCCATTCTGGCCCCAATACAAGGGGGCACTATCTGCATCTCTAATCCTCCCCTACACCACAGCTCAAGCCTTGCAGATGGCATCCAGGTGACACAAATACTCCCGGTCTACAGCCAAACCAAGCTTAGCTCTCGTTGTCAGGCTTCATACACACACACATGCATACCGCCCTCCTCTCACTAGGGCCTCTCATCTCCACCCCCCTTATAGGGTCTCTTTCACGCATCGACAACTTATACCGCCTTGCTTCCTCTTGGAGTGGCCTCTTCGGCCATAGGCTTTATCTAGCGCACACCTTGGGTGGCAGACGTACCATCTTTTGGGCCTCTTCTGCGACCCTCAGTGGGGTAGTGGCCGGCCAGTTACCCAACCGGGGCCAAGCTTGCCCTGGCCCCTCCTGGGGCCACTCTACACAGATTCTTACACATACACTGGGCTCCCAGCCCTCTGGTTACCCCCTCACTGGGGCTCCACCTCTCTACTTCTTCACTGGGGCTTCACATCTTCTACCCCCTCACTGGGGCTACAGGGCTTCCCTCCCTGGTGGGGTCTCAGGTGGCTGTAGCCGTGCCTGGCCCCAACTGCTACCCAGAGTGATGTGGGGGCTAGGGGTTACTGAGGCACCCCAACCCACCTTCCACCAGGGTGGTAACTGGTCTGATATTTTCCTGGAGGCCCCTGCACCACTGGGAGCCCCACCAGGCCACCCATTCCCAGCAGGGTACAGTTTTAGGTCATGCCCAGGACCAAGAACCTTCTGCTCCTACCTGCAGATATTCTCATACAGCAGCTCAGCCAGGTGATGTTTCTGCCTGCCTGTCAGCAGCAAACCCCTCCCTGTCAGCAGCAAACTGCTCTGTTTATATAGGCAGCTATGGTTCTAAAATGGCCACCACAATCAAGCACCTGCTGGCTGCTTGACTCAGCCCTTGAAGTGTCAGGCACCAACAGTGCCCTGCCACAGTGATGATAAAACCCTACTCTTTATTGTCAGAATTACTCTTCCTCTGTTAAGCAGATTAGGACTTCTGGTGCCCCTTGGCAGCTAGTTGACTGTATATGTAGTCACTCATGACTTTAGCTGGCTCAATGACAGGCTTGTGAACCTGGCTTTTGGGCAGCTCAGGAGTTTCCTGGAGCCCATCTTGGGCTTCGCAGGCAGCAAGGATAACAGGATTCTCTACAACCCTGCATATACAGGAGCTGATCAGGGTCTCTGCTCCCATCAATGCCTACTGCCATGCACAGAGCACTGGTGAGAGTGTTCCATGCAAGAGGAAGGGAGTCATACCACTGGAGTCCCCTTTGTTAAAGTTATAGGTAACCTATACTGAAGACTTTATTCCAGCAAGATGTGGCAGGTAAGTGAAACAAGTGAAAGAATCATAAAGGAGACCAGGGTCAAGGTCTTCAGGGCCACCCTTTGGTCCTATCAATGTGTTACAAAAGTAGATGCATTTCAAGATGGATTTTCAAGACTCAAATAGGGTAGAGTAGAATTGCACTTATACACCTAAATTCACTTAGGGGTCTAACAAGTAGAAAAAAATCTGCCCCTAAATTTATGGTGCAAAGAGGTGCAATCCAGCAAACAGGGGGAAACTGCTCAGGTGGAAAGGAAGATAAAGTATGTATAAGGTGGCCATGATGCCCCTTGGAGCCTTCTTAACCCTTGCCAATCTGGCTCTCTTTGGGCAATCTTCCCTTCACTTTCCTGCCACACCTTGATGTTGTTAACTTTTAGAAAAAGGGAGGGTGCCCCAGGGCTTCCCAAGCCTGATCTTACTCTCTTGACCACTGTTGTCCATGATCATTGCCTTAAGGGCCAGTTATGTGGCTCCAACTTCCCCTTTACACCACAGCCAGGTCTCACAGGTGATGTGCTGACCTGCACTTCTTGGGCTATGGGGTCCTGGCCCCAGTCCTTGCCCCTCCTGGGCTATAGGCTCTTTGGCCCCCTCAGTCTCCAGCTCTGACCCTGGTCTTTGGGTCGTCTCTCTGGGCCCTAGCCACACTCCTAGGCCATCTCTAGCAGTGGCCCACTTTGGCCTTTGGCCCTGGCCTGCTTCTGGGCCAATGAGACCTTCAGGCTCCCAGGCCTGGCTGACAACCACCGATCCTGGGCTACCAAATCCCGGGCTCCCTGGCCCTGCTGACACCTTCCCCTTCTGGGCCCCAACCTCAGGCCTTCTGGCCTTACCTACTCAGCCCCTCCTGGGCTCCAGCCTCTCAGGCCCTTCTCACAATCACCCTTCTGTGGGCACTTCTACCTCCACCCATCTCAGGCTTCAGGCCCCAGGCCCTCAGCCTGAGCCTAGGAGGGGCTGTATAGATTCTCCCTCTGAGCCCCAAGCCCTCTATTCTTCTGTCATCTCTCTCTCCCTTGGCCAGCTGGGACTTCCTTACATCCTCTTAGTCCTTTCTACAAACCACCAGTTAAAACTGTAACCCTAGTAGTAAGTCCTCTGGCAGACCATACTAAACCCCTCTGGGTCCAAACCTAAGTAATGGCTACCTGCCTGGATAACCAGACCTCTCTCTGGTAACCCAGGAGCCTGGTAACATTCCCCTATTCCCAGGCCTGCAGAGTTGCTTACCCTAGCTCCGATGTTATCCATGTTATCCCAGGAGCTCTACTGCAGCCCTGCTGCCAGAAGCTCCTCTCCCAGTCGCTCTCAGGGTTAGACTGCCTGACCAACTCAGGCCCTGGCTTTATATTGTTCAAGCCTAGCCCCCTTCTGGTCAGCTGACTCTCTAATTGCAGCTCCTCCCCCCCATTTTCTGGCTGCTTCTCAGGCAGCCTCTCTTAAAGAGACAGGCACGCTAAGCACCCTGTCACAGCGAGCAAACTGTCTAGATGACATTGTAGCATTCACCAGTACCTGGAAGGAACATCTCCGGCAGGTCACAGCAGTGTTACCTCAGCTTTGAACCACAGGCCTAATGGCAAATGCCACAGATAAAAACAAACAGTGCTTAGGTTTTCTGGTTCAGGCAATTTACAAAAATTGCTTTTGGAACTGATGACCTCCAGGTGCTTCTGGGAAGAAACTTCTCTTTTAATAGTGAAAAATAATTAGATTAAGAATTCCAGAATTATAGTTAAAATAATGGCATAAATCAAATCATAGCTCACATCAAGTACAAGATATTTTTCAAAAATCTAGGAAAAAAGTAACCTTACATATATGACATGAGTTTGAACTCCTACCAGCCTACAATATAACCTACACTAAGTAATAGTTTAGGTGGGCAGTGGGCGTTGTGACAGGCTCATTGCTAGAGGGGTGGCCATGACACCTGTTGGTGGCCTTGCAGCTCCTGGCCAGCTCAGACTGTAATGTCGCTCTCCCTGGATTGCTCTCCTGCCATGCCTTGTTCTTAATATTAAAGATTGATTAAGGGAGGCTGCCAACAGGCCTTAGAGTGAGCCATAATCCCAATAATTTCCCACTGGGTCTCTCCTGAAACTCTACTAGCCCTGATCTAGCCCTCAGGCCTGATAGGTTCCTTTCAGCCTGGCTAGGCCCCTGTAGGGCACCTGTAGCCTTAAGAGCAAATTGCCTGGCTCCTTTTCCTTCCCTACACCATGTCCCAATCCTCAAAGATGTTCTCTCTCTTTGATGCTAAATTATTTATACACTCGGCCCCTCCTCTGGACTCTCGGACCCCTGGTCCCACATGCAGCCCCTCCTCCGGGCTCTCAGACCCTCTAGTCCTGCTTAGCCCACTCTGGGCTTGTGAGCCCTCTTACCCAGCTCAGCCCTTCCTTGGGCACATAGACCCTCTGGCCCAGGTCTCAGCCTTTTCTTAGTCTCCTGGACCCCTACTGGGTCCCAGTCTCAGTCTGAGGGCTCCTGGATTACTGGTTTTCTAAACAGGCCTTGAGCCTGTCACTGTAGAGCTCAAGGTTAAACTACCAGTGCATCTTAAATAAACAAGAAGCATCACCACCCTCTGGCAGACACCTCAAACCCTCTAAGGGCATAACACGAACAAAGGCCACTTGCCTGTAAATCCATTTCTCTGCCCAGGAAACTTGCCTCTGTTCCCAGGCCTGCAGAGTTGTTTAGCTAAATCCAGGTGCCTTCAGGAGCCCTGCTGCCAGAAGCTCCTTACTTTGTGGCTGCCAGGAAGAGACTACCTGACTGGTGCAGGCTCTGGGTTTAAAGGGTGCTTGTACATGTGACAATGTCGTGATGCACACATGATGAAAATGTCACTTTGTGTGGCTTAATGGCATTACATATTACATGTGTGCCAGTTTGGGGGGGTTAGATAAGTTTGCATCTCTGCAAACTAAACTATATCCTGATCTAGTTTAGTCTGCAATGATCTATTGCAGCTATTAGTCAGCTTGTCCCCCAGCTGCAGGAGAGGTGGGCAGACTCCAGAGAAAAAAAAAAGGATTGGGCCCCTCACTGCTTCTGCCTTCAGCAGGCATCAGTCCTTTTTTTTTTTTTTTTGGCAGAGCCTGCCTGCCTGCAGCAGGGGGGCAAGCTGCCAGCGGGCCAAGCAGCCTCTGAGCTGTGGGGGGCCCCGGTCCCTCCCTCCATGGTGGCGGTGCCCCCCTGGGGAAGAGTTGGATCAGTCTGGGTGCTGCCTCCAAGCTGGGGAAGTACTCAGCCTGCTAGCAGCTTGCCTGGGTGGCCCTGGGGGGAACCACTGCCACAAAGGACTGGGGCCTCCCACACCTCAGGGGGCCTCTTGGCCTGCTGGCAGCTCACCCCCAGGCTATGAGCAGGCTCCACCAAAAAAGAAAGAAATGATCTGGCCCCTTGCCATAATGTGACGGAAAAATAAAACACCTAAATTGAAATGGTGGGTTACAATTAAAAACCCACCATTTCAATTTAGGGGGCATAGAAAACTAAACCACCATCACATGTACAAGCGCCCATATAGCTCAAGCCTGAGCCCTCTTCTGGTCAGGCGAGTCCCTCATTAGCTCCTCTCTGCCACCTTCAAGCAGCCTCTCAGGCTGCTTGCTGTCTTAAAGGAGCAGGCATATTTTACTGCCCTGCTACAGGTGTCTTGCCTTTAACATATATGAAAACAAAATCTGACCCAGTGTCATTATTTGGTCAGTTATATTCAAGTAGTATGTCTTTTTTCATAAACATGCAGGACTTGATGGCTGAGCAGGATTCTCAGTATCTTATTGAACTGGATGGAAATAAGCACCCAGATGAGCTCATTGCAGTAAGTATGCTTTATGTATACTTAGACAAATTCTATTAGAAAAGAACCATTGCTAAAGCTGGCATTTTCATTAAAATTATATTGCCAAAGACCTATAATTCATAATGCTATTGCTAGAAAATACTTGCTTATTTAGATGCCTCTTTTCTTTGTTACCTAAAAAAAGAAAGCCAATTATATTTACTATATATTCTACAGCTTAAACAGAAACATGTCCCTAGTTGACTATAATTCACATCATGTTGCACGGAGTTATCACATGCAGTATTTGATAACTTGCCAAGCATCTTTATTAACATGAATAAAACTATAAAGGAATTTATTAATATTTAGTTATTCCAACATAATATATTTTATGGTATTGGTTTTCTGCAGTTTCACCTAAAATAAATTAAACGATTTTATGCCCTTGTGACATTAACTTGGCATTGCAATACAAGAGGCTTGGATTAAATGTCTGGATCATATTTTCCATTTTTTGTAGAAGTTCTACTGAGCAACATAAATAAAAAATGTCTAGTCTTTTTAGCTCATGTCACTCAATAGCAAAGTCTTCTCCTTATGAAAGACTGATATCGATAAACAAGAGCAGAAGTTCTATTCCTTGCTTTGCCAAGCATGGTGGCTGTAGCATTTTTGGACCTCAAGAATGAGTGATTAAATAAAAAAGATTGAATTGTGTCTTCAGCTACATAGAACAGGTGTCACCACTGTCAGTGCACTCCACTGGATACATATTAAGGTCCAAATCCTGTAAGTACATTTAATTACGATGAGTAGTATTTATGGTAATAAAGTTAGGTATTTGCAGGTTTATAGAATTAGGACCTTAATTTGTATAATTTATGGTCAGTAAAATAGAGACAACATTGAAAAGATGATCCAGTTGTGTAATGGCTATTGATCCAATTGCTATTTTTTCCTATGAGCAGAGATGTGGGCCAGAAAATTTTCCAGAAAAATTTCTACTGCTTTATTTTTCCATGGGAAATTTTCCATTTCTCAAAATTCATTGTTGCATAAAATTCATTAGTAACAATGAATGGATGCCAATACAATCTTAGGCAAGCTTGGCAGTTTCCAAGTTGTAATTAATGTTTTTCAGGTGATTATCCCTAGGAAGTGTGTGAGAGAGTACATATATGTTTTACTGATTTGCAAACAGGAGGGTAAATACACTCACATAATAATCCAAACCAAAAATCAAGTTATGAATTCACCTAATTGGCTGTGCAGGTCAAATCAAAACCAAAGCATAGCATAATCAAGCACAGTTCCTTGGGTGTGCTAAAATTAGTGTGTCAATAGTTTTCAGTGCCTTTGTTTTTTCTTTAAATTTAAACCATCAATGTAAGGGAAGTACATGCTATTGTGTAGTGTCTTGACATTTTTACAAGTGTTCCAATAAAAATAATTTGTTTTTGCATAAACCTTTGAATGTGTATGAATATAACATTTTAACCACATTAAGTGTGCTGTATTTATTTATTTTTCCTAATCAATTCTTTCAGTTTAAATACTTGTGGCTATTGGGACATAAAATTAACATGGGTGTACTTTTTTAGTTTTGTTTGCCAAATAGAAGTCAAGTGTAAAAATGTTAAATCACATCACGCTCTATTTAGGGCATTGGAAAATTTTCCAATTCAAAATTTTCTGGAAAATCCACATCTCTGTCTACGAGTAAGGCAAAACTTATTACAAGCCAAGCTCCATCATGGCAAATTTTGCTTCTCTGTTTCTCAGACTCTTTAGACAGGTTTTGATCTCTCAGGGAGATTTTTTTCCCCTTCTTTTCTGACCCTGCATATACCTCTTCTCTCATGGGGAAAGATACTTTGTAGCACTTTTTGTTCCTTCTGGAATCTAAGCCTCAATGCATATGGATGGGATAAGAGGCCAAAGCCAGGGACTGCACTGTCTATACCTCCTGTGCATTTTGCAAGAGCTCTGATGAGCATGTTGGATGGCCCAAAGCTATACAATGAGAAATAGTACATATACTGGTACTACATAAATAAGAAGATAGTTTTAAAGCCTATAAATTGTGCTTCCATATCATAAAAACAATTTTGAATGGTAATTTACCCAAGACATTCTTTTTTCTTTAGTCGGTATTAGCCCGGCTTCAATCCATGGGCCTTCGAAATGGAGCACTGATAACCAGACTTCAAAGCCCAGAGGAAGAATTGCCAGAGACAATGGAAAATGTAACTATGTTATTTGCTTTTTTAGAAATTTGGTTGCCTACAATAATTACAATAATTGGTTGTTTATTATTTTTTATATTATGCTCTTTTGCTATACCACTTTTGTTTTATATTATACACTTACTGATAAAGAATGGTGCTTAAGTTAAAAAAATGGAGGCATTTATAGTTCAGTTATGTGGCAGAAATGTGAGTTTAAGAAAATGTATTTCAGGTGTACAGAACCAGAACTTTAATAAACATTCCAAAAAAAAAAAAAAGCATGGAAAAACATGACTTTAAGATCAGGATAGTTTTGTACCTGCATCTCAAAAAGAAAGTTCTGAAGAAATATAAAGAAAATTTCTCAGGAAAAGAAAAGTACTTATAGATAGTTTCTTCAGCGGTTAAAAAACAAAGCAGCAAGCTGGCTTCATACTGTCTCTACTCTTTTACCTGAGGCTTTCGACATACTAGATAAAAAAGAACTGCTAGTTTTAGATGCTGAAAACAAATACATTTTACTTTCTTTTTTTAAGTAATAATATGGTAGATCATCACTGATCTCTTTCTTTTACCTGTATCATTGGATGCGGTTTCAAGAGAGAACTCTCCTTAAATAACTAAGCTATGTTATCTGGCCCCCTTTTTGTAAAACTAAGAACATAAATCTTACATACAGATAGACTGTAGGGACAATATAACATCCTCCTTCAGCTTCTTTTATACATAGAAGAATGCATGGTTGTCTTGCTTGCTGTGTCATCAAATCTTCAAAGCTTTGAATTTGGGTATAACAAGTGGCACCTTCCTGATTAGGGTTATACTTTCAGGGAAAAGCGCTTTTTCACAGAATGGAGATTTGCAGATCCTTGCAAGTGGTCAATGAACAAGAGTCCTGCATATAGAAAAATTCAAAAAAGGATTTTGGCAATCACTGTTTCTTTTCTTTGAAGGAAGCCCTTTTTGTTTTCCATCCTGTGAGGTCTGTTTTAATACCTCCTGCAAGCAGTTCTGTCAATCAGATATATAATATATCAGAACTGGCATTTCTATAAGCATAGAATAGAAGTTTTTGTTTACTCATTCCATTGCTCAGAATTTGGTCTCCTTTACAGTCTCTCCAATGGGAATTTCCATAGCACAGAATTACTTGTGTTGCCCAGTGTAATAACACTATGCCCCTTCCTCCCCATTGACCAATTATTTTACTTCCTCTCTTTAAATCTATCATTTTTAACCTTCCTGTTGTTAATGAGAGAGCTTTTCAGTAGTTGGCAGCATTTAGTACTCCTTTAAATGGGTACATATTAAGTATTACTAAAAATGATTTACATGTAATTAATATTTTGTAGCTGTGGTGTTTTCATAATGTAAGCTGAGGGAATTTTTTAAGGGTTATTTTTAAGCAGATTAAAAATAAAATGTTTCCAGTAGTTATTCCTTAAAGTTGAGTAGTGAAAAAAATTCAGTTTCACATATTTTGGTTATAAAAGTAATTACCACTCAAGTATTCATCCCCTGTCTTGCAAAATATTTTAAAATGAGAAATTATATATAATTCTGCATATATAATTTTTAGCAAAAATTAAGCATTCTTTTACTGTTCTTTTAATATACAGGATGAACTTTTCCGGGCTCTTTCATCCTACAAACTAATAGCACCTCAATACCGCTGGCGCAGAAGCCAATGGGGACGAGTATGCCCTGTGGCTTTAAAAGAGGGTAACATTGAAATGGGGCTTCCTGACTTGGCTGTCAGGTAAGAAAAAACTAGTATTGTGTACTGGTATTTCTACTTTCTAATGCACAGTGTCTATACCTTTTATTTTTTCCCCCCACAGCTTTCTAGGTAAAATGTATGTACTGTCATCTCAAGATGCCTTGAGAGCATTTATGTTGAATCCACGGCCCTATCTACTACCACCTATGCCACTTCCTCCTTGTAAAGTACTAGTACTTGGACCTCCATTGTCAGGGAAAACAACTCTTTGTAACTTGATTGCAAACAAATATAAAGGTCAGGTAGGTATATATAAATATTTTAAGTTAGTTGAAAAATTAGACTTCCAGATTTTAGATTGTTGTTTTTGAAAGTGATTTGAATGATAGATGTGTAATATATCAGTCATATGTCCTTCACTTCTAAATATCAGTGCTTATTCTTTAGATAATCTTTGCATGAAATATACATCAGTTTAGCAAAAAAACTACCCATGTATCTGACACAAAGGAGCAATGTATACTTCCATTTATATCATTAACACTTTCAGTAGCAATTGCTTTTACTATCCTTTATTATATTTGTCATATAAACATTGCACTTATACAGGTGTAAAGAATACAATGCATTCTTTATAGGATGTTATAGAAAAAAACAAAATAAAATTTAATATTGTACTTTAAATATACAGGCTAGGACCTGAGAAAAGCTGAGTATCTGCCAATCTCATTAATTTTAATCAGTTAAGGGTATTTATTGGTATCTGGTTCATCATGAGAGTTATATCACATTACTCTCTTCATACAGATTTTTTTTAGGCAGACACTGTGGCTAAGGGAACATTTACTTAGTTTATGATTTTAGAGGGTTTTATGAGCATATACATTCCAAATCTGGATTTGTGCAAAAAAAATGCAGTAATTTGGTAAAATCCAGTTACAGGAAAGAGTTCTGCTTTGGCATTTTGGCAATTACTGTCATAATAGTTCTTAATAGGTTTGGATATGCTGAAATCACCAGGATGGCCGAGTGGTTAAGGCGTTGGACTTAAGATCCAATGGATGTATGTCTACGTGGGTTCGAACCCCACTCCTGGTAGCTGTTTTTTACTTTTTCTGAGCAGGGACCATCTCACACTGGGATTCAGGACAGACTCAGAAGTGAGTCCACCAGGCCTAGGGTCAGGGAGGACCAAGTAAGGGAACTTCTGGAGGGGCTGGAGGTGTTCAAATCAGCAAGTCCAGATGCTCTCCACCCTAGGGTGCTGAGGGAATTGGCAGGGGTCATCACGGGGCCCCTGGCATGACTTTACGTAGTGCTCTAGCCAGGTGCTAGAAGACTGGAAGAAGGCCAATGTGGTCCCCATTTTCAGAAAAGGGAGGAGGGAGGACCCAGGCAACTATAGGCCCGTTAGTCTTACTTCAGTCCTGGGGAAGCTCTTTGAAAAAATTATCCAGCAGCATATCTAGGAGGGACAAGGAGAGGGGAGGATGCTCAAGGGCAACCAGCATGGGTTCATTAGGGGCAGGTCCTGTTGGACCATAGTTTCATAGTTGGTAGGGTCAGAAGGGACCTGAGGAGATCATCTAGTCTGCCCCCCTGCCATGGCAGGAAAGAGTACTGGGGTCAAATGCCCCCGGCCAGATGTTCATCCAGCCTCCTTTTAAAGGCCCCCAGGGTAGGAGCCAGCACCACTTCTTTTGGAAGTTGGTTCCAGGTCCTAGCTGCCCTGACAGTGAAATAACACTTCCTAATATCTAGCCTGAAACTACCCTCCGCTAGCTTGTGTCCGTTGTTTCTTGTAACTCCCAGGAGTGCTCAGGGGAACAGGGACTCTCCCAATGCCTACTGGTCCCCCTTGACTAGTTTGTAGACTAGATCCCCTCTCAGCCTTCTCTTTTGGAGGCTGAACAGGTTCAGGTCCCTCAGCTTCTCCTTGTAGGGCCTGCCCTGCTGACCCCTGATCATGCGGGTGGCCCTCCTTTGGACCCTCTCCATATTGCCACATCCCTCCTGAAGTGCAGAGCCCAGAACTGGACGCAGTACTCCAACTGTGGCCTGACCAGCGTCGCATAGAGGGGGAGGATCACCTCCTTGGACCTACTTGAGATGCATCTGTGGATGCACAAGGTATGGTTGGCCTTCCTAACCGTGTCCCCACACTGTCGGCCCATGTTCATTGTGGCATCAATGATGACTCCAAGATCCTTTTCTGTCTTGACACTGGTGAGAAGGGAGCTCCCCAGCCTGTAGGTGTGCCGCTGGTTCTTCCTCCCCAGGTGCATTACCCTGCATTTGTCAGTGTTGAACCCCATCCTGTTCTCTTTGACCCACCCCTGTTACCTGTCTAGATCCACTTGCAGCCTGTTCCTTCCTCCTAGCGTACCCACTTCCCCCACATCTTAGTGTCATCTGTGAACTTGAACAGGGTGCTTTCTACCCCCTCACCCAAGTCACTGATGAAGGTGTTGAATAGTGCGGGCCCGAGGACCGAGCCCTGCGGAACCCCACTGCCCACATCCCTCCAGGTTGAATAAGACCCATCCACCACCACCCTCTGGGTGCAGCCCTCCAG